ATTCAATTCACTGCAATTTAGGAGTTAAATCACTTTTGGTTCTGTTTGTGCAGCCCTAGCCACACCCCCCCGTGACTGACACAGTCTGCAAGAAAACAAAATGGTTTCCTTTTTAAACAGAGATAACACCTTTAAAGTTTTTGTCTCCTGCTCTGTAACTTGAACTTTAATCACAAACAGGAGGCTCCTGCAAGGTCTAGCAAGCTATTAACAGAGCAGGAGATATGAAATTCTTAATGAAATAGAATTTGAAATAAAGGAAGTGTAAACACAAGATCTCTCTTTACAGGAAGCTTTCAGGAAGGCTGTGCAAGTCTCATAGAGGGAGGTGTGTCTAGGGCTGCATAAACAAAGTAATTAAACTCAACTATGTGGGCATGATCTATACACCAAAACTGTTTCATTAAGCTAAAGTTGTTTTGGTGACTATAGTTTCCCTTTGTCATTTAGAAAAAAACAAACTGGGATGAATAATAATAATACAAAAATCTACTTTTAATAAGCAGGCCAAGTTAGAAAACTAACTGAACTGGAAAATTACTGAAATATATCCAAAAACTGAAATGTAGCTGTGTATTCACTTAGCTCACTCTTAAATCAATACATCCCAGTGTTTAAAATGCTGTGTTTGTCTGCATAGTATGGCTATGTCTGTCTATTGTTTGCCCTAGCATTGAAATTGACCTCTTCTTTTGAAGTAGGACATCTGAACTTGCCTTGCATGTAACCAATGGGGAGCTTTTGATATGGCAAATTACTTCATCAGCATCTGTTTAATTTCATATGTAAATGACAATTGGCAGGAAGCAGGCGCTTTGTTTCATGATGAATAAAAAGCATAATATTAGGGATACTTGTTTATAATTAAGGTAAGTACTCTTGTTCTGCTAATATCATTACATATGTTTGCATTTACATACAGTAGCCATGAGTTGCCTGATATTCATTCAATTTCCTCAATCCTCATCAAAAATGGGGAATTATTTTACCAGATAAGAGAGTTACGATTTAAAATCAAAAGTCCCTGGGATGCCTTTATAAAATCTACACAGTCGGGTTAAATTATTTATGTACCTTTGAAGTTTTTATTTATAAACATGCATTGTATGAGTTTAGATGCACCCAGACCCCTTCCTTTTAACACTGCAGCTGAAAACATTGCCGTTCTGAAAGAAGGCAACGTTTTCTTTGCAGGGTTAGCTCGCCTTTTATGGTGGTCATACTGCCAGCTTTTAGAAGGCTTCCTTGTATTAGTGGAGTAAAAACTCCACCATTTCAATCAGATGATCTCAGAGAGAGATAGCGAGGCAATCAAGATCTTGGTTTATGGAACCTCTCAGGCTATTTTATGATTGTCTGTATTCTCAGCCTATTTTGTTACCTTGTTCCTGGGCCAACATATGCTAGCCTTCCCATGCAAATTCATGATCTATACAGTGATTGACCCCTGTGGACAACCACCTCCACCAGCAACAATGAACGCTTTGCAAAACATTGCATCAAAGATGAGACATGCACAGGTATTGTCCAATGAGGATGAGAATCAGCATGAAACCTTCTGATCCAAACAAATGAAACATGGTTAGGACAGGAAATGTCTAAGTAGTCTAGTATGAGGTCTAGTATGATATATTCAATGAATATATTAATGAGGTCCCGAATGGGCAGCAACCCGAAAATTGCTTAGTCCATACAGTAGTCACTGCAATGTGGTGCTGTCGTGTGATAGCTATTATAGGTAGGTTTAAATATTAGATATTTAATAAAAATAGATTTTTACTGCTCCTCTTCCCATCCCCCCTATATTGGTTACTTCTCACTTAATTTGTGAACCAAATGGCATGAAACTGCTCCAGTTTGATTTGTCTAGGTTGTTTTTCTCAACATGGTTGCATGGCCAAAATTCGTCTGAACCGAACCGCCACATGGACAAAACCTGAATCGCCCAAAACATAATTATTATTTTTAGCTTGCATAAGTCCACTATTACCTAAGGGAGCATTGTTGTACCAATGCAATGCTATTCATAGAGACATTCTGTATGACTAAAATAGAAGGTGGGGATGTGGTTAAACATCATCAGTTGCAGTTATGTATCCAAGCAGGGGTTCTTACAAAAAAAAATAATTACAAAATCTATGCAAAAAGAGGGGATTTAGAAAAAAAAATGCCCAACTTGGCTATATCTCATATTTTGTTTAATTTTTTCAATCCAGTTTCTGAGTTTGCTACAATTCAGGTTTTTCAAGACAAAAGGCAAATATTGTGCATTATCTTTCTTTACTAAAACTTCAGCAACAAAGAAAAATGTAATAACATTTTAATGAATAACAGAAAAAAACAATTAAATAACCGAAATGGAACACTCAGCAACCAATCAGCATCCAACGTGGTCTAAATGAAGAATGACTTCCAAATCTCCTTCCTCTTTTGAGCTGTAATAATAGAAGTACATAAGTAAGAGAAAATTCCAAGGATAAGAACCAATCCAAACTTTCATCTCCAACCCAGATTAAAGGGACACTATAGTCACCTAAACAACTTTAGCTTAATGAAGCAGTTTTAGTGTAGAGATCATGCTTCTCAGGTTTCACTGTTCAATTCACTGCCATTTAGAAGTTAAATCACTTTGTTTCTGTTTATGCAGCCCTAGCCACACCTCCCCTGGCTTTGCTTGACACAGTCTGCATGAAAAAAACTGGTTTCACTTTCAATCAGATGTAATTTACCTTAAACAATTGTATCTCTTTCTCTGTAAATTGAACTTTAATCACATACAGGAGGCTCTTGCAGGGTCTAGCAAGTTTTTAATATAGCAGGGGATAATAAAATCTAAATTAAACAGAACTTGCAATAAAGGAAGGATAAACATTAGATGACTCTTTACAGGAAGTGTTTATGGAAGGCTGTGCAGGTCATGTGCAGGGAGGTGTGACTAGGGTTCATAAACAAAGGGATTTAACTCCGAAATGGCAGAGGATTGAGCAGTGAGGCTGCAGGGGCAGGAGATATATACCAAAACGGTTTAATTAAGTTGTTTTGGTGACTATAGTGTCCCTTTAAGCTGAAAAATAGGAAATAAGGGTGGGATAATACTAACCTCCTGTAGTTAAGAAAGTCTTTATTTTTTTTTTATGTCAAGACTAGGAAAATCTTAAACTTTAACACAGACAGGAGGCTTATAGTTATGCATATTAAAAGCGAAATGTATCAAAATAAATATAATTACAATATATAATATATATATATATATATATATATAAAATATATAATTACAGAATCACTTGTAAAATACGCAAGATAGGTTTAAAATAAATGGAAATTATAGTGACATTAAATGGAAATTATAGTGACATTACTATCCTAAACCTCCTCACATTTATACTTCCTGTGGTTACCTCCAAAAAGGTTTGGAGGTGACCACAGGAAAGTATAAATTTGAGGAGGTTTTGGATAGTAATGTCACTATAATTTCCATAGAGCAGATATATGATATGCATTGTGAGTATATACTTAAAAGCACTGTCACTTTAATTGGTAATAGATGTCAGTAAGAAATGGACAAAGTGAATAAAACCTAAGTGAGCAATCACGCTGTTTGCGGGCAACTTAGGAGGCAAACTAACTGAAAAAAATTCCCTGATACAACTGAATGGGTCAAGAAAGTCCAAATAAAAGACCCAGCCTGAGGCGCCAGGGATTTCTGTGTTTTCTGTGTTTGTATTCATATGTATTTGTGATCGTCTGTTCGAAAATGTGTTTCCTGCAAGTACACTATTTCTACTTGTACCTTTTTGAGTTCCCTGGCTAAGACATGTCGTTTGTATGAGATATTCAGGCCTTGCACATTATGGGAATATATTTTCATACTGAATGTGGATGGTAACTAATTATGGTGACCTGTCTCTGTGCCTCTTGGGTTTAGTGTGAGATGCGCGTTTAACATTTTTCCTGCACTGGGCTGTAAACTCTGTGGTCGGGAGAGTTAGTCCCATGAGTTTGTACTTGTCACCTGTTTGCCCGCTTCTGAATATCTGCCTTTGTGGGTCCCATCCTGGTTGTGTTCCCGTGACTTTACCCCGTAGAAAGCAGGTATAGGGTGCTGAGTGCGTAACCTCATTTGCGACCATATAAACAAAACACATAAAATATATACATAAACATAAAAATAACTTATACATTTGGACCCTAAGGGTCCCTCTGGAGGAAAGGTGTCCAGCTAGTTTCTCCCACTAGCTATGTCCTGCAGGGGGGTGCAGGAATCCAGGTCCAGCTTACAGGCCGCCCAAGTATCTGCAGCCCCCACGCCTCCAGCTCTCAGGTTTGTCTCCATAAGTAAAAAGTGAAGTGTGTCTGAGAAAACCAGATCTTACATTTGACCGTGGGCGTTTAAACCCTGTTTCCCATGGTATGGTGGATCCCTGGTGACCCTGTAGGTTGATTACTTCCCGCGTCTATCTCACAAGCTCGCTGGGTATAAGCATATCTGGTAGGTGGGGAGGGAGGTGCTATTCAGTGGAAGGTAACTATATCCCGTCACTGGGATATGGGGCAATGTGTGTGTGGGCGGTTGGGTGGTTTCGAGCTAGTGATTCGGCTAGGGCCGTGTGTGGGCTCTGATGGGATGTCAACCCACTGCCCCTGCTGTTAAAGCGCCCTAATCGGTGTGGCCTCCCCTGCCTCCGATGCATTTGTCATTTAACCATATGAACATTCTCCCTGTACATAGTGTAAGCCAACAGTTAACACAGACTAGTAGTGCATATTTCCCTCTCCCGACCAGTGTCCGTACTGCACTGATCTGCACAGTTTGATAGGACCTTGATGTAGCGATAATGTCCACAATGTCACGGAGCCAGGGCCCAAGTGTGTCGGGAGGGTGACATTTGCTGCCTCTTGTCGCATTCATTTTCCTGCCGTTGTCTTGGAGGCTTTGGAGTGCCTGATGGTTTTCCATTCCGGCTGGAGCTCTGCCTGCCTTTTGGGACCTTCTCCCGAAGTCACTGCGTTGATGCCCCAGCTGCACAGCAGGCGGGTGCCTGCCTCCACGTCCACGGCCACGTGTCTTGCCTTCCCTTAAAATCAGCAACCCATCGGTACGGAATTCTCCTGTAGCGCAGCTCCGAGGTTATGTCCCTGAATGCCCTTCTGTGCCGAAGTGTTTCTGCTGAGAGATCTGCAAATACCTGGATGGACCTATACTGCTCCGTTAAGTCGAGTTGCGGCCGTTTGGAACGGAGGAGAGCCTCTTTAACGTGGTAGTAATGTAATTCAGTTAGCACGTCCCTTGTGCTGGAACCGGGTAAGTGTTGAGGCTTCGCCACCTTGTGTGCCCTGTCCATTAGGAACATGTTAGTGGGTATGTCGGGGGCTAAGGCCTGGAATAGACCCACGAGATATGCTATGAGTTCTGCAGGATGTATGTCCTCAGGGACCTCTCTTACCCGCAGGTTTTGGAGCTGGGACCTGTCTTCTAGGTCCATAGTTTTCAGATTTTTTTAATGGCTAAGCTGGGTGCAAATTTTGTCCCCACGTCTGTACCCGTCTTTTGTAAATAGAACTTGTCTTTATGCCAGAAGTAATTGTTTTTTAATATGAAGATTATTGCTTCTATTATGAATGAGATTTGGGAGTCCTCTAGTTCTGGGTCGAGATAGGGGCGGCAAACTTAACTACGCCACTGATTACAATACTCAAAACCCATTAAAAGCCATGAAATAAATGTATTGTCCATTATTGCCCCCAGTCACAGCCTCTTCTGGACCCTAAGGGTCCCTCTGGCCCTGAAGCTCCTGCCAGGAGGGTCTTTATAAAGCTGGATCATTGGCTGAGAAAGTCAGCTGAGCACTCCGAGCCGATGAGCTCAGACCTACACCGCTTGGCTTCGCTCACTGCAGGAAGCATCTGTCAGCCAAAGACGCCCAGCAGTCCGCAGCTAAGGTGTCAAAACATTTGCAAACAGCTTGACTATTTACCCTGGGAGGGCACTTCTGACACCATTACTGCCACAGTGGACTGAAGTGGTTATAGTATTTTAAGTATTCCTCTAAGGCAGATCGTTTAAAAAAAAAATAAAAAAAATAGGATCTGTATGCAAAAGAATTATGTATGTTTAACATTCACACCCATTCTACAAGATTTACATCAGACAAGATGGCTTTTACATGCCTTATGGTTATGAAGCATGGCAAATCAAGCCAACCCTGCCTTTTCCTCATCACTTTCACCATTTGATTCTATTCACAAAATAATCTACAAGCTGCATGTGATCCCTAGAAGTGGATCATTTAAAACTGGAGAAAAATAGCCTAATTGATTAATTTTCAGAATTTAAATTCTGTATTTTGGTTATTAATTTGTCAAGAGATGAACAAATCACTTAAAAGATGAAAAAAAAAAAAAGTTAAAGACAAAATTGGTACATGGAATTTATCTTATTTTAAAATTACAAGGAGGGATTGTAGAGCCACTTGCCACCTTCATCCTCTGAAGTGGGATAAGATGTAAATAATTCAGTAATGGGGGAAACCTAGTCCAAGGTCCTTCCATGACCTTCAACCAATAACTGGAAGGCAATGGGACAGAACTAAGATTTTATGCAGCCCTCTAGCTCCTAAGCTATGTGTGAGGGGCTGAAAAGTTGGCATGGCTAACTTCAACTCACTGGCTCCATAGATGCCCTAGGACCTTCCTCAAAACATACACATTGGTTTACTATTTGTAAGCAGATGGGACATTGTGGGCATTTGTGTCTAGGGATATCTGTAGGAATTATTTGGGCATATATTTAGCCATTACACTCTATTCTTTCTGCTCACAATCTTGTTCTAACCCATTTCTTAGCAGAATGGATTTTGCCAACAGGTCTTTGTTGATGTTCCTACTCACACTGCAGAAACAATACAGGTGTTTCAAAGATAAAGGCCACTCAAGTCTTGGTGTGACTGTGACATAGTCTATTACTGCATCTTCCAGATCTGTATACCATTGGGTTTGTAGGTCATCAGCCAATGCACAAGCTCACAGAAGTCTCAACTAGAAAAAGCCCCAAAACAATTCTTGATCCTCAGCCTAATGCCCCCAGATATCGCAATCAGCAGAAAAAGAACACTGAGGCTGCAGCCAACAGACCCTGTATGCAAGTGGCAATATCCCCCTTCCCACTCCGTAATTATTTGGCCATGGTCTTTCTAAGCGGTCTTTTCTGTATTCCTGCTCTCTAAAAAGTGCTACAGAGATTTACTTTATATATGTGACAACCTTCTAGACCCCCTTCATGTGATCCACAAGCAATGCACTTCTTTCCGCAATTCATAGCAACTGTGAATATTCTGAATAAAAACGTTGAGACATACACAGGTAGTTCTTTGCGTATACTGAATATTTATTGGCTTTTAAAAATTAACCCATTTTCTCTTATTCAGTCAATTGCATTAAATAAAATAAGCATAAAATAAATCAAAATCATTCTCTATGAGAATATTCTGTATTCATGTGAAAAAGAAGATAACAAAAATTTGAAAGTTTCCTTAAATAAAATCTAAAAGCAAGGATTATGTATGGAGAACAATTCTGGGGCATAGTTCAAGTAGTCACCATGGAAACCAGTGGAATGTTTCAGTAGATCCACTTTTGGAACTCTGCTCCAGAAACGTTCATACATACCTTTTCCTTTATATTCTATATATAATAACACTGGTTTATAACCAGATCCAGTCTGCATTTTTATTCAGCAAGCAAAACAAAAAAATGTTGCAAGTCCTCTTATTCCAGATTTAATTTCTCACTGCTTGAAGGAGCTGTGACACAATGTATGACACCTTTTATAATTTAAGGGTCAATTTAAAGGTTAGTATTGCAGACCCCAACCTTCAAACAAACAATTGTGAATCCATGAAGCCAAAGCTTTCTAGCCCACTCGGCTTCATGCTTATAGCAGGAATGTGCGTTCATCATATCCATCTACTTTCACAAGCCAGTTGCCCTAAACCCCGTGTCATAGGAGGAGCGCTGAAGCTCCTTTTTCCAAAATTAATCTCCAAGAAAAATGCAAGGTGAATAGAATACAAAAATTAGGTTTGAAAGGCAGACATACTAGTCAAAATAACTAGCTTTCCACAACAAAAACCACACGTTAACACAAAAAAATACCGTGGTGGTAAAACACTCTGTGACAAACTGTGATACATAATGAGGAAAGGGGTTTACAAAAAAAATTATACATATTTTGTAGAAACTGGTGTCAAAGTTTTGTAGGTTCTTAAACCAGACAGAAGAGAAAATGAGGCAGGTAAGTTGGCAGTCATTGAATCTATGATCTGGATGAGAAAATAACAATCAGCAACGTAATCTTAGTCCTTTATGAGTATGTCGTCTTACGAGACATTCCCATGAAACATCCCATTATTCCCCCTAGCAGAGTTCATTAGGTTACAGGTGAAATAAATATTACACAAAGCACAACAAGACGTTTGCCTTCTTCCTTGGGAGAAGGTGTCTCCAAGATTGTGCAAATAAAGTGGTTAGAATCTTTCAAGCATTTACATACAATAATTTTTAGTTTTTCTTTCCTAACCAGACAAGTCTGGTATACAAGTTGCAACAGGATAACAGTCACTCCCCAAATTGAAGTGGTATTTATTATAAGTCGCCAAGTGTGGGGTGGGAAGGCTTTGGCACAAGTCAGCTTTGTGACACTCATTGCACCCTTTACTCTGTGTACCAGCATGTGAAAGGAAGGAAAGGGTATTGAGTCCAATCTGACATTCCTCCATGTGGGTGGGATACTGTCCCCTGTGTGCTGAAGTCAGATGAATAGCCAGAGTAGCCAACAGGTCGATACTGTCCTTGAGAAGGAATCATCCACTGTTCAGCTCCATATGGGCTGCGCATTGGGCCCTGCATAGTCTGTTTCCGTGTAGAATCCATGCATGTATTGAGAACACTAGAACGATACTGGGAAGGTAGAGTTGTGGAGAACACAGGCTGTTGACATGAATCGGAGTCTGGTACAGTAGCTACATCTGGGCTGAGTCGACCAACCGGGATCTCACCCATATCACCAGTCAATGGTAGGGTGAGAGGGCCTCTTCGGTACTGACTCCTGAAGGACACAATAATAGTACATGATTAGCCAGAAATGTCTGCAGCACTCTATACAATTTAAACAAGGGAACACTAGTTTTAGAAGAACCAGTAATGTGACTAAATGTCCACAATTATGTTGCAAATATTACAATGGGAGCCGCACTCCATCTCAGCAGCCACTTGGTTCTCCGGAGCAGGACCAGCAATCCCACAACGATAAGACAACACAGTCAACTCTCCAGGTACTCAAGGTGTTCAAGCTGTAGGCAGTTTTAAAATTTAAAAGAAAAAAAAAAAGAAGCAACATTTCGACCTGCTATGAGGTCTTTGTCAAGCTTGACAAAATACCTCATAGTAGGTCGAAACGTTGCTGGAGAATTTCTTGTGTTGTCTAAAGGGCCACAATTAAAGCACAATTGCACAATCACAGAAAGATTGTAATCACCATTTTAACCTTTGTAATGAAGGTCAATTTTAAAGAAACTCTTGCCTTCAGTACATTCCAAGCTTCGAGAACTAATGATTACCTGTATGAAAGGCTGGAAGATGAAGAGGGCACTTGTTGCTCCTGGTTTGTAGCATCAGTCAGATCAGGGGAGCTTGGTGTTAGGAAATGACTCCCCTCTTGCTCTGGAACCCAGTTCTGATAAAATTCAGTAGCTGGACTGGTCTCCTTCATACATGGAACTTTAGCATTATCTAAAGTGTTAAGGAGAAACAACAGTTTAGGATATAATAATAATAAAAAAATAATAAATAAAAATAAATAAATAAATAAAAAAAATTAAATCGCTTAAACTTGTAAACTGGAATCATTCCAAATGGCCGATTCTAATTACCTGCAGTCTCAGGCTCAAGGTGGTCCTCCCAGTTCTTTCTCTTCTGCACCCTGATTGGACTTTGTGGTGTGGTTTTAGAATGGTCACCCCTGATTGGAAAAAAAAAATGTGAGTTGTATTAAAAACTGTGAGATCTCCATAAATAAAACTCAAACATGGCAGACATTTTAATTCACCTTAGTGCAAATGAGATTAGATAGAGTACTCTCAAGAGAAGGTTAAGAGTGGAAGAATTACAACTAATGTGGTGCGATTATATTGAAGTTCTCTTTAGTGTGTAATGTACAACCTGTATGGGCCCTTTGTAAAGGGATTCAATCTTATTTTACAGGATGGATTCATGTAATATTGAATCTTACCTCTTTTGTCCTCTCTCTTGTTCTCTGAATCCTTTTGCAAATGGATTGTGATCTATTTTGAGTTTTGTGATCTGGGAAAGAAAAACTGTTTAATATCTAGAATGTGAAACCGTTTATTTGTCCTGTTTATCTCACACATTTAGTACATTCAGTAGTTAGTTACCTTCTCATTCTGGTACGCAGTCACTGCTGTAAATTCGGTCTCCGGAAAGCTGAACACCTGCAGCAAGCCCCATCGGACATTATATACATCATCCGACTGAACAATGTGAAATCGTGGCTTGTACCGATGCATGGAATGCAGAACGATCTGTGGTAGGTATGGAAAGGAAGAGCGTGTGAGTACATGATGTGACATTGGCATATAGAATGATTGAAACTCTAGAACTGCAATTAATCATTAACACCATTTTCTTTTAAATGATCCATTAACATTACTTGATCATTAATCAGTTAATGTCAGCAGTATTTGAAAAGTGTGGTTAGGAATCTTGAATATAGCATAAATGATTGAGAATTACCCCAACCACCATGACGACTTCTGCTTTTAGAAGTAGTTATAGCGGTAGACATCTGTGTGTGGAGTGTTTCTGCTTGATACGCGGTACATTCAGAGATATTTGCAATTTTGAGCTGTGAACTAGTTGCAATTACAATTCTGTGCAAAAAAAAAAATACATTTGTGACAGACCTAATGAGCTTCTCCCTTGCAGGCAGCATTAAGAGGAACCCTTCTCTCTTCCCCACCTCCCTACGTTGCCATTTAAAAATGTATTTATTTTTTTTAAATGCCAATCCTCACTCCCTCCTTAACTTACTATGGGCATGCCCTCTGAGCTGGTGAAATGGTCCAATCAAATGCTTCTCTATGTGAAGCATTTTATTGGAACTCCTGAGGATAACGTAAACAATGTGTGGAAAGCATTGCAAGGAGCTTTGCACAGCACTGAATTCCAGGTATTTTTTCTTTGCAGGTTTTAAGGGGAGAGGGGGGGTGGTGACTAATAAGAACGACTACAAAAATAAAATGATATACACATACATATACACACACACCCCTTTAAAAGAAACGCACGTTAGGAATCCAGTTTTGTATTCCTAACGCTATAGTGTCCCTCTGCAATAAGCTATAGGTCCACAGGGAAGTACCTCTAGGGCTCTCAGACACGGAAATGTTTTACATTGCAGCGTTAAGGGGACAGGGCCATGGCACCCAGAACTCTTCAATGAGATGAAGTAGGCGAGATACTAAAGTGTCTCTTTAAACATCTAATACAACTCCTAGTGCTTCAGAACCCTGCCACATTGTTATCCAGATACTCACATGGCCTTGCTGATCCAAGGTGTTGTTAGTAAGTTTCAATTTTTGGAATCCAATTACATCCTTCATCCAGTGAGCGCCGGAGGCTGGAGAGTCTGGATGAATGTATGTCCTGCACGGAGGGTGTGGTTCAGCCTTCCCTGCTGCCTCCCACTTATTTTTATTCCACTGCAGAGAAGAAAAAAAAAGAAAAAAAGGAATATTAGTAAGTTAGCATGGTGGGGAAATGGAAACAATTATTTATTTTTTTTAAATGCTAAAGGCATCATTGAAAATCGAGCTACTAAGTCTCCATTATTTGCAATGGAGACTATTTTCTTTTAACGAATTTACTTTGTGATACCTTAGTCTGCATCCATTATGATACATACCTTATACCTCATGCTGTCCAGAGGAACGAAATCTACCAACACAACATATTTGGTGTAAGGATGAAGGCCAAATAAGCGGATTTTACATTGGGGAAACATCCTCCTAGGAACCGAAAAAGAAAGTGAGAGATGGGAAAGGAACACATTCTAATACAACTGACCTTCTAAAGCCAGACACAAAGCATTACATTATCTTTAAAGTAAAGTTTTTGCTCCCACTAAACCTTAAAAAAAAAAAAAAAGTTAAAATATACATTTTTCATATGCTTTTGAAAATATATTTTTATTTAGAATGTCAAGCAGAAAAAAAACAAACAAACAAAAAAAAATAACTTAATGAATGTATTTGTTAACTAAAATCTAATAGAATCAGCCAACTTTTTCAACTAAACTAACATGATCACTAATGTGAGACTTCAAAGTGAATTTCAAATTTAAGACCAGAGCAGCCAAGTTGAAAGCATAGCGGATTGTTTTTTCTCCCCAGTTCAGCTTTTTTGTCCTCAATTCACTTTGGATTATTATTTTAGTGAATAACTCTGTTGGACACTGCACATCTTTATTTGTGGATGAGTTTAAGAGCACTAAAAAAACATTTAAAGTAATGCTGTTGCATTATATATTTATTTTAGGGGGTTAGCAATAAGATTGGTTGCAATTTATTTTGGTTTTCTAGAAGAAGAAAAAAAAAAAAACTAAAATCTGCAGCTTACAAGACTTAAGTGTTAAATGCTCTTGATTAAAAGCTCTTGATAGAAATACTTTAAAAAAAATTTATGAAATCCGCAAACCTGGTTTCACCCACCTATCTGGTACACACCCTGAAAACCCAGCTTTCCCATCCAAATCCACTTACCGTCCAGACTTTGTGATGATCATCTCAGTGCCTTCCTGGTGGAAGCGTGTCCACAGGTCCTTGTCCTCTAATGTGGCTCCGATAGAGCCAGGTAGGTACATCTGGTCCTGGCTGGAGGTATAGTCCATCTCCCCAAGCGGCTTCACGTCTACATGGATTAAACGTGGTTAATAGATACATTCTCTCATTAAACAGGTGTCATTCATACACAGCTACAATCACTAGCCGCCGTTATATTCCACACATTGCAGGGATTCCATATACAATTATCTCCTCAACAAGTCTTAGAACGCCGGGGGTAGGATAGAAAGTTTAATCCGATACATTCCCCCAGTTCCTCCCAGAATGGGCTCAAAGTAGCCACGAAGAGCCGCTCCAGGTTGAGATATTTGCGGTTTCACTATCGTACAGATTAGTCATTGGGGATAAACTAGGTTAGATCCATTTTATGCCCAGGGCTCCAATCACCTCAAGGACATCTTACACCATAAACAGATACCAGGAATCTAATAGTGTATGCATGTACTGGCACATACAACGTAAACTGGTTAGAATCACTGCATGCAGTTTACCAGGACTAACCATCGCAGGGATTGCTGTAGCAATATTCAAGACCAGTATAATAAAAACATTGGTAATATGAAATATTATAAACCCATTGGACAATTGCAATTTACAGGGCACCTACAAGCAGGGTCAGATCTATTAAAACTATTTGAAGTCAGGTTTAGCGGAGTTTAAAGAATACACGACGTGCGATAGTTATCCAACGCTATGTTGCCCTGACAGAGCTACTTACCAGGCATGGAGTACATAATATCCTCTCTCTCTGCTAGATCACTAGGTCCAGGCAAGCATCAGTAAGCAATGACTACCCTGAGTGCTCCAGTCAATGGTATTTAAGGCTGATGGGAGGAGTCTACGGCGCCTTCCCCCACGCCCCAACCTGATGCCAGTTCCAGGGCTTTGATGTCTATGGATTCAAAGACAGGAAGAATCCTTAATGACTGGGGCAGGGTTTGGCTGGTCATTGATTAGCATATCCCCAACACACAGGAAGCCTTGAAGGCAAAAAGGCTGCTTCATGGAGTGCAGACTGCAAAGTAAACAGAAATCACATATCCAAAGCACCTAGGAGGTGGGTTACCTTCTGCATGACAAATATCTGGATGTAGAACCAAGACAATTCTCAGAACTCTTCTCCAGCTGTAGGTCCCATGTTACTGCCAACTCTCACTCTGCGATCAATAAAGCCCATATTTTACCTGTATAAGCAATGGATCATATGGCAATGGTATGAGGTGGGCACTGGGCCTGGTTGCCATTAGCATCTTAACACTTTGTTAATGTGGTAAAATATGAACTTTAGATGTAAATTAATGAGTTTAGCAAATTGTTAATGTGCTAGCTAGGATTAAGAATGGTATATCCAATCTGCTTTGTCCAGATAAAGTTATAATGCCTCAGTTATGGTAGATTTAACCTACATGTGGGAGTGAGGTCAAAACGTTGACTATGACCTTGTCTCCTACCTCTTTAATAGTAGTGTTGCCCACTGGACCTGATATCATTAGGTGTTATGAAGTGCCAACACACAACTGGCCTTTAGTGTGTTAGGAGGTTACAGCATCACTGAATTTATTCCATTACCAAAAGATAGATAGATACTAAGCTGCAGTTAAATCAATTTAAATGAAGTACACTGAAAAAAAGAAGATTTCACAAAAACCAGAATATAAAAACTCTTCAACCTAGTTTGAGATTAAGGTGCATAATATAGGTGTGAATAGACAGACACTGGGTGATGTGCAGCAACCCATGTTCCCCAATACAGACAGTTATTTCAATGACATAGTTGCATATGCTTTGTGTGTAGGCAGTGTCCACATGGCATAGACATTCTTAAATGTGAATTTACACAGCAGAATAGTTACACATCTCTAGATGCTTTTATTATAATTTAATCATAATGATTTAACCAATAAATGCAGTAAACGGATTCTAAAACTAGTCTAGATGGAAAAAAAAAAAAAGTCTGAGTTAGAGGGATTTCCTTCTAATTTTCTCTGGATGGTAAACCTATTCATATCCACAGTATAGAATAAAACCTGGATAAGCAGACAAATGAAATGGGTAAAAGTAATGTTTTTTTTTGTTTGTTTGTTTTTAAATTTTAGATAGAAATTATGCAGCCAGCAAAACTAGGATGATTTTGTAAATAGAATAGAGTCATAAATGAATAAAGTAGTGAGAGTACATTAATTCCTGTTACATAATTAGTCACCCAAACATGTCTCCCTCTCCCACAGGAGATGAGAAATAAAGCATGTAAAAGGGTTTTCTATTTTATTTCATTACAGAGACAGAATGAGACATTCCATTGGTTCATTGTCAACACTAGCTGTCTGGACACAGATCTGAAGTTTTGAGAATTTTAGTAGTTCCTCTTTACTTAAGAAAAGTGAAAGTTGTGTTCAAAGAAATAGGAGGATGTCCCTATTGGAAGCCTTAGGCCACGAACAGGACCAAAGTCAAATGCAGAGTGATCCAGGACATGAATCTCTCTACCTTTCAAGTAGGAAACGTACTGTGGTGCCTATTGTTTATCTAGATAAACAGGGGGTGGCGAGAGGAACAGACACAAAACGGAGTTCTTTGAGAGCAGACTTCCTATATTTCAGTAAACCTATATGACAAGATGGAGATCATGTTGGAACACTGAGAAAAAAAAAAAAGTTATGGAATAAAGTATATATACACACACACTTATATACATATACACCGTCAGACTTCAAATTTTAAACCTCTAGAAAGAATATATAAAAAACACACTGTATTTGCAAACACACCAAATTGGGAATAACTTAATAAACCGGCCACTATAGCAAAGTAATAGAATTATTTCTAGATCAAATGTTTTTGCATTTTGGTTTACGGTGTACAATTCAATGTTTAGTGAAATCATATAGACAAAATTAACACCTAAACAGAATTCTATGAAGTTTATAGGATCTTTGGTTACTATGGAAATTTCTTAGTTGTATTACAAGAAGTTCAATCAAGCCATATCTTTGTAATACGTTTGAATATAAAGTGGTTTGGGGATCCAACTACTGCTGGTCATTGAAACCTACCTCTTTTGATGTCTGTAAAAACAAGACACCTTATATGTAACGAATTTAGAGATATCAACATTTTCAAAGATGACATCTATAGAATGCTCAATATAGTAGTCCATTAGAAAAAAAAAAAGTTAAAAAGGAAACATTTTAAACTTGTAGGACTACAGAGTTCATGAAAATGTTGTATTCATTTATAAGTCAATTATAAAAAGGATAAAAATTAAATACAGATTTTTCTGTATTAAATACCACTGCAAATGACTAGAGTTTGTAGTTTCTAACCCTTGAACCCCAAGGAAATCACGCAATGTTTTTTTACCCTCAACTAAAAAATGATATAAAACCACCATATATTACACAAAAAAACCCCAACCATTTCCTAGTGGCTATATAGGCAGTTAAGCACCAGTATTTATTTTCATAACTCCAAATGAAAATAATTCTCATTAAAATAATGTAAATGTAATGTAAGGGTGTATGAAAAAAATACTAAGAAAAAAATCCCACACCAAATTGTAGATTTAATTTTTATTTTAGAAAAAAAAAATAAAAAAATACACAAACAAAAAAACTGCACACTTTGTATGGTTCATAGTACTTTGATGCATACCACCTACAGAGTTTGTTTGTACAGTCACTTCCACAATAAATTGCTAAGCATTTTATTATGCACATGTCCAACTAAAGCAAGGCTGTTGCATTAATGACCCCCTCTCTTGGGCGTCCTAAGAAAGCTTTTTGAGGAAAGCAAGACTGTGCTTTTAACACTTCACAAATGGAGTCATTGGATGGTCCAATCCATCAACAAATTGATCTGCGAATTGTCATTACAGACACTTTTATGATCGCTCTGTCAGAGTGCATGGAAAGCACTCTTTATGCTGGCACCTACTGCGCAAAATGAGTCTGCTGGAAATTTAAAATGTTTTTGTAATTTACTTCTAACTTAACTGAATAAAATAAAAAATGAGCAAAGACTGCTCAACCAGGAAAGCATTGTGTTAAACACTTTCAGAAGATAAAAATATACTGCAGTTTAGTACTAGTATAAGTGTATAACGAAAAAGGGGTCGTGTTCCGGTAAAAGGCATGTTACTACATGTTACAGTGTTGGGGTATTGTCAGAAAGTCCTTCAATCAAGTCCATCTCTTAAAATCAGAGTGACAATAGATGTGATGTACAGCTGAATAGTTTGTTTTACATATCCTTAGCATATCACATCAAAGGCTAATGTAAATCGATATGTAATCTGAATATAAAACATTCAAATTTACATGCACTGTAAACTCTACTTTTAAATAAAAGGACAGCTTATAAAATGGGGACAAATGTTAAACACAGGTAACCTTCTGGTACAACATAGCACAGTAGTACATTCACTGAAGTGAAACGTCAAAGTAAGATTTAAAAAAAAAAAAAAAATATTCCTTTATTTTTTAAATTGTATTTTTGCTATGCAAAGATTAACAAGCAGTCCTGCATTGCCACAATAGCAATTACATGCAGTTTAAAAACAGACAGGATCATGACATGAGGTATTACTGCACAATGTTAAAATTAAACATGCTTATGCAGGGTATGTCAGTGGATAGATGAGAAGTCGTAGCATATAACAGTATATATATCCTTGCATTTTAGTTACAAGAGACATTAGCTTGCTAGATACACTTTGCTTAGGAAAGTAGAGTATAAACAAAGAGTGGAGTGGAGTGGAGTGGTACTGCAAAGAATATGAAAAGCAAAGAAAATACAGGAGTCCACTACATAAAAAAAAAAAAAGAAGCCAGTTGAAGGTCTTTGGGGCAGCCACCGTGAGCCCCCTGCATCCTCACCCGATCCCCAGCTTGAGTGGGGACTGCTGGGCACTCAGACACCTCGAGGATAGGCGTGTGTAGCGTGGGAGCACGTATTGTGAGCCTCCCTCTGATATCCCCAGATCCGTGCTAGTGCTGGAGTCGCCATTTTGAGAAGTTAGGAGACTGAATGTCCCTGATCGTTGGGCTTT